CTGTGAATATCTCACTTTAAAAGAACGGTAGATATCCTCCAGTGAAATCCACAGTCTTATTCTGGATTTCATCTGAATCTCATCAAATTCTACAGAATGCAGTTCAAGCCTATGGTTTCCACCGGGGTTTTGACCAGGAAACTTTCCTCAGGGACGTTTGTTGGAGGAAAACATCGTCTCTCCAACAGATGTTACAACCCTAAATCTCGCACTGAAAATGCTTCAGACAGTATGTAGCCCTTGGGAGATTTCAGTGATGGAAGATGGGAAATGAAAGTGGATGTAAAGATGCAAGGAGAAGATGCGAGGAGAGCGAGGTTGTCTGTGGTGGACTGAGTCCTACTTGCAGGAGACAGAACAGGGCCCATCAGTCCAACACGATATCAGCAAGTTGGGGTACATCACATTTTTAGAGCCTAGAGGCTCATCCATTTACTCTACAGGCAAGCAAAAATGCACCATCTTCTCTACTGTACCAGTTCTGAATCATGGCACTGTTTGTATATTCTATGAGTCTGGCCCAGTTTCTGTTCTCAGTTACACCAGGAAATATTTGGAATAGCTCCAAAGATTACTGTCGACTGATGCCAAAGGAAGCAAGCTACGGCTCGAGGTCCTTGATGGAGAAAAGCCATCCATAGCACTGAGACACATCTGTGAATCACACTGCCGCTTTGCCCTTCGCTGAGCGCATCGCAATGGGTCTCACTTAGAAAAGGCCTAGGGCAGCCACCACAGGAGCTGAGAGCCACCCTTCCACGTCACTGTCTTTCCACTCAAAAGCTTTCCCAATGAGGAGCTTCAAGGACTAATTGCAGCAACTTCAATGAGTAAGGGGCTGAGATTTCCAGGAGCTCTTCAGCACCCATAGAAATCACAGCAGACAATAGGAGTTGCAAATGATCAGCAAAGTTGGCTAGAGGATTTGAACAGAATTGCTCTGTCACAGAGCCCTAGCCCCAGACACACAGACACTGCTCCCCCCTCTGTCTCTTGGCAATAACAGATTAAAAAGATAAATAAAAGCCATGACTTGTATGCAATCTCCCAACTCATTCTGTAGCCACGGTCTATTAGTACAGCTCCTCTGACTGTCACGCATGGAGAATTGTTAAGGGTGAAGCCCTACACTGGCATCTGCAATGCAGACCTCATCATCTCGGAGGATTTCTGCTATGCATTTTGCTCTTTCTCCCTGCACCAAATTCCCCTTGGCACAGGCAGACTAGCCAGAAGGGATTTCTGCAGTACAGCAACAGATCTGAAAGAACTAGTTCGCCTGATATTCCCAGCACCACAACCACGTGGTTCTATTCACCTGATTTATGCCTTTCAATTGCAGCATGACCACAGGATGCAGATGTAGTATAACATATTCCCTATGCATTTTCCTGTAGTATGTTTTTTTTGTTTTGTTTTGTTTTTGTCTTAGTTTGGTTTGATTTTTTTCCTAAAATAATCAAGAAAGCAAAAAAACCTGACCTCATGCTTGGAAAAAAATTGAGAGTTAAAAAAAGCATGTAGTCCCAGAGCACTTATCCCATCAGAGAAACTGCTATGGGATCACATTTGCCTCAGGAAAGAAAGGAGGGAAGTGAACTTGTGTCAGGAGTCTGTTTGCACTGGAATTGGGATCTCTCTGAAGCTCCAGGCTATTTGTTCTGAACGAAATCATTTACTGCTGAAAGGCTCAATGACACTCCTGAATGAAGTTTTCTACCTACACTGACTTATTAACTTTTCTTTTGGGAAACCGGAGGGGGAAAAATCACCACAGAGGTCTTGCAAAGAGGAGCCACAGAGAGGGCTGGGCTCACACACATCCACGTCCGCCCCACAGAACGCCCACTCCTGGGGGGCTCAGGACAACGTGCTGCTCTTTCTTGGCCACAGTGCGGATGGAGATGGAGGGAGAGCCCTCAACAAGACACCTGAGACCTTGCTCTGAGCTCACACTTGGCTCTCAAAGTTGTCTTCCTTCCCCACTTTGGCTTCCTCCCCCCACCCCCTGCCGTCTGCCAAAGGGAGGTGTTCAGCAGAGGGATCGCCATCACTGAGAGCTGCTATACGCCACTGCAAGACCTGAGCTGAGCAAAATAATGTTGGACCCAGCAAGCGGGCTTTTGTCCTGTGCTCACATCTGCTGACAGGCACAACTCTTCAGGTCCAGGTGGACTCTTCTCTCATAACTCCAGCTATTGAAAGGCAGACGTTTACTCTAAGCACATTGTCCAGACTACAGGCAAGGCAGGAAGGGTTCCTCAGCCCAACCTACACTCATATCACACATGACACTCATGTCACCACCTTCTCAAAAGCAGTTCTGCTCTCTGGAAGCCACTTTTGCACAGAGGGAGCCCAGAAACCAGCCAGGTGTTTCTGCTTCTGGGTGGTGTCTGCAGCCGCTTGCTGCCACCAGGTCCGTGCCCCAAGGGACACAGTAGGATCAGTGCTGGGAGCACATCTCAGGGCTCGGGCCTCTCTCCAGCACTGCCCCAAGACATGCAGATGATGGGGGTGAGAAGGGAAACACTCCAACCATGGCTGGAATGGCTTTCCTCAAACCCACAGTGCTCTGAGCTCACACAACCCTGCTGGCAGGGTTCTCAGCTCTGCTCTCGGCTCTGAAATGTCCCTCTGCACTGGAAGCTAGGACACAGTTAAGAAAACAAAGGTGCTTAGGCTTTCCTCAGCATGAAAAATTCATTCCCTCCATGGCTACACCCCCTAATGAGATGATCAGTGACCTGATGAATGTCAGGTCACCGGTTCCCAGTACTAAAGGCTGTGCACTGTTTTGTAAAAGCATGGTTTTTTTCCAGCTACCTTCTTTTCCCTGTAATGAAGAAACTGCCCTAAAAGTACGTTCTCTGAGAGCACACGCAGCCATCACTCCCCCAAAGCAGATGTACCAACATCTGCCAGCCAGTGGAGAAAACAGCCTCACTACACGTGTGTATACACACATACATTGTATTTAAATATATATTTATATATGAAACATAAAACCACAAATGTAGATTAAACTTCTCTAACATACCCAGTCCTGAATGGTTATTTATCTCATATATACATCACCTACATGTTTTGATATATTAATACATTTTTTTATGAGTTGTGATACATAAGAAGCCCACAAATGTGAGTTCTTATTTGTCTGTATTTACAACCCTGGATGGGTCTTCATCATAATATAATAACCCAACCCTGCTTTCTTGTTAAAAAAATGACATCTTTCTAAGGGTACAAAACTCTTTCCATGTAATCTGTACAGAGGATAAGTTATTAAGGAAGCAAGCATTAGAAATTATCCTATAAAATCAAGATATGGATTTTAACCCTTTCCACCATGTCAGGTCTGAGCATGTGTGTTTATTCCAAGTTCTTCTGTTCACTGCATCAGAGTATGACCACAGGCCCCACAGAAAAATGCCAAGCCATTTTTAGCACAAGCTCAGCATGGCTAGGTGCCATGCTCTTCATATGTCATGAAGCCCTTCTAATAGTCCTCACTGTTTTGCCTCCTCCCTCCCCCCTCCAAAAACCCCACAATGAATGTAAACCTTCAAATCTTCCCATTGGCCATAATGAAAGGGTAGTTTAGCAGCAAAAAAAAAAAAAAAAAAAGGTGCCGGGACATCACTACTCAAGTTCCAGTAAAGGTTGGCAGGCTGGCACCAGGGGAGTAAAGCTATTTCAACTGGCAGTGCATCCCCAAAATAATAAATAAATAAATAAATATTGAGACATTGTGCCAATAGGATCTGTGTGAAGGGGGGGCAGCAGGCAACACCAGGCACATTCAGGGATGGCTTAGAATGAGAAGAGTAAGTGCTTTATATGTATATATATATATATATATATATATATACACACAGGCTTTTTCTGATCTGAGCCTGAGAATGGTTGTACGCAAGCATACATTTGCCCACTCCATTTGGGTAAGGTTATGGTTGTATTGAATAAAGTTCTGGATTTGCAGGATTACAGGCATCATTTGGTGCCCACCTTTTGCTGTAAGATCTATGGGTCACGCAACTGTAAGACTCGTGGATCTGCATAAACATCAGCTCCCAAGGCAGCAGCAACCACTTACAGCCTGGAGGGATCAGCTCCAGGTTCCTGGGCAGCCCATGGGTGGATGCTTCCAGAAGGCATGGGCCTCTACAGCTCTCTGCTCAAAGCCAGCTTCACTGCTCCCAAAGAATAAGGGATCTAAAACACTCCTATCTCCTGGATGGAAAATACTGAGCTTCTACATCTGTCTTAGGTGTAATCACGGGTATGGCAAAGTTCCTGCAAAACATTTGCACCAGGAAGTAACTTGACACATGTATGAAGTTCCAAGTCAAGTGAAAGGCATGAAGTTAATTACCAGCAGAGCCTGACATTTAGAAAAGGACTTTAAACAGGATTTTTAAACAGGATTTAGGCATAAGTTTCAGCCTACTTATTTACATCCAAAACGGAGATCCAAAAAGACCTCTTCAGCCACCTGGCCCTGGAGATCCCAACATTTCCTAACACCTTCCTGTTTCACCCTGAAGTTACCTTATCTATATCCCTGCTTTGAGAACCCAAGACTGACCAGGAAAACACATCCTTCCTGCCTAAGACCCTCTGAGAAACCAACACAATGCACCAAGTCTCCAGGAGCATCTGGAGAACACTTAACAAAACTGCTCTCAGAACAGAGTTGAGGCCTTTGGCTCTACAGCACTGCCAGCCGGGGAGAAGATATCCTCCAACTCTTCTGCAATAGCTCTGTATCCCCATGGCCACAAACCCTGCCTCTGCAACCCAAGCATTAAAACCGGAGTGGAAAGTTGTGGATGTTGGCCTCATGTTGGAAAGGTATTTCACCGACTTGATGTAAAAGGCACAAGAAGATGCCAGGGAAGGGACTGTCACCACATCCTTGTTCGCCAACCCACCAGTGACAAAGCAGAGCCCAGAGCTCTCATGGGGCTGGGGATCCCCATGATGGAGGCATGCATTACCTCTGCATCCTGGACATCCTGTGGAGCTCCATGTCATCGCTGCCGCGGAAACCTTTTGCAAAGGGGTTGTTCTCAATCTTCAACTGAGTGATCTGAAAGAGAAGAGCAATGGGTTCATTGCAAGTCCAAGGCACAGCCAGGGAGAGAGCGGATGCTGTTTATTATATACCCAGGCCAGTAGAGATAGTGGGGGAAAGACACTTTTGGGAACTCAAGTCATCCTTCAGCTCAGGCTCTGAGCACTCCATATGGGGCTTCCTCCAGCTCTCTCGACTGGAAAAATATCTCCTGTCAACTGCCTTTCACTTCCCTCAGGCTTGTCCCATACCTAACACACACAATTCTCACTGGAGGAAAGCTGCTTTCTGAAAGTTCCATACTGTCTTTTTACAGCTGAGATAGAAAGGGCTGCACTGAGCAGAGGGCTGGTGATGAAGGTGGCATTACCCAAACAAATTTCACTGACACCAACAGATATTATCTCAGCTGTGCATAACCATAACCAAAAAACTCTCAAATTCTAGAGCCCACTCAGCCAAGGCTCACCCTGTCTAGTTACCCTGTCTGGTAGCAAGCAGCTACTCGCACTCTGGGAGCACTGCAGTTGACATGCTTCCCCACCCAGATGCACACTTGCAGCAACAGATTAGGAATATTTATCTCCTAATTAATTATAGAACAAATTAAGGAGATTGCTTTGCTCTCCTAGTTGGCTACTTTGAGAGTCTGAAGTTAGCTTCCTCAATCACCTAACTTCAGTCCTCCTGCAACATCAAACTTAAACATTTAAAGCATCACCTACAGAGAGTGTCCCTTAATCCAGATCAGCTCTGTTGCTCACAGAGATGCAGTCCTCTCCTTCTGATACCTCCTCTGAGGATGTAGGCAAGGATATGGGTTTTCTTACCCTCAGGCTGATGTTAAAGCAGATATCACCTGTTGGCCAGCAACACTCCCCTCCACACTGCTAATCTTGTATGAGCTCTCATTGCTGTGCCACATTTGCCGCAAGTGCTTTGGTGGCTCTGCAGAGCAGAGCTGATCAGGTGTGCACTGCCCTGAAAGCCAGCCTGCACAGCTGCTCCTCAAGAGCTGGCATGGCAAAGCGAAGGCAGCATGAGTTTTGGCTTGCTTGACAGAAACACAGCCATAAACTCACTGCTGTATGAAACAAATCTGTCTGCAGCCGGAGTCAGCAACCTGGGAGCACCAGCCTTGCAGGGAGAGGAGAGGGCCAGCCTCTGTGCAAAGCTTGCAGGGAGAGGAGAGGGCCAGCCTCTGTGCAAAGCTCCATACCAACCTTCAGCTTATGTTATATCAAATACATAGGCAGCAAAGGCTGCAGTTTCCCTTCTTCCCTTTCTCCGTCACTGCCAGGCAGTCCAAGCGCAGGGCCAGAAGCAAGGAGAGCCCTGTGCCTGGAGCAGTTTCATGCGCTCAACGTCCTTCCTTCGCACTGCCGGTGGGCCAAAGGGAAGGGAAGAGCTTGAGATTGATGGCGGGAGAACAGAGAGAGGTTCATGCTCACCAAGCCGAGCACACACAACTGGACCCATCTCTTTGCCAAAATTCAAAGAGAGAAATCTGGCCCGCCCAGTGTCAATAGCAAGCCCCGCCAGGTGTCTGCACGACCAGCTCATTTTGTTTTTTCTCATCGTATAGCATATTTTTTCCAAAGGCTAGTTGTTTACTTGACTTTTTTTTGCCTAATTTGGTCCCAAATCACACACAGCCCCCATCACCCACGTACACACGTCCCCACAGGCACTCCCATTAAGTCAGGACCTAATTCACCACATAAACAGGCACTGCTTTTTTTTTTTTGTCACGCATTTCAAATTTCAAAGCAGAGGCTGAACAAACAACCCATTTGGACCAATCTGCCATTTGAGCTGTTGTCTAGCAGTAAAGCAGTGATATATTTTATAATTAAAAGCCCCAAACTGTTAGAAAACAGCTGTGTATGTTGCAACGTAACTGCCTATCAGTTTCCACCGCTGAGGTGGTGGCACTTCTGTAGTGAATAATAGGCATTATTCAACTTGTGGAAGGTTCCATTTAATCTGCATTCTGAAATGCACTAAATGTACGGGTTGTCCTCACTTGCCGAACCCAATGGCAATATTTGCTTGCATAAGAGAAGTCCTTCATGGAGTGAGGATTTACAGTATTGGCACCAGCACACAACCGTACAAAGGCGCGGATTCATCCCAACCTAACCGAAGGCTCTTTAACCAAGGCGCCTGCACAGAGGACCTCAGCTCCCAGTGTTCCTGCTGGAATCAAGGGAGGAGATGGGGAGTGCTGGAGGGCAGGCGGGCTCCGGGGTGGGCAACAATTCCCAAATTCACTCTGCTCACTGAAGAAGGAGACACCAACATGAGAGCCCTTTAGTTAAGCATCTTGGCTAACTGCTCTTTTTGACAAATCAAGCCTTCAGTCCCCCAGAGAATGTTGGCAAAATATCATACAAGACCTCCATCTTGCAAAAACATTGCTTTACTAGTAGAGAAACCTCTTAACTCTCTTTAGGAATGCTTCAAAACAATGGGATGAATGTATGTGTTGATAGCAGAAAGCCCCAAGTAGATCACCTGGAACTGCAAACACCCTAAAACAGAGGATCAGCTGTGCTGGAGGGATCTAAGAGCTCTGGGGTACAGAAGATTCTAAGTTAGGTCTGAGCTCAGTAGTGGACAGCCTTCAGATGGGTTTTCAACTGGTTCTTTGGATAACACTTCGGGGCATCAGCCCTAGCTGTCTAAGACAGTTTTAGGGAAAAAAAAAAAAAAAAAAAAAAAAAAAAAAGGGCAATAAATTAGAAAATAGAGAGCAAGCTGGTGAGCATCTGCTTTAGAAAACAGCCTCTGGAAGGTATTTTTTTTGGCTGCTTTTTGTCTGAGTTCAAAACTATTCAGAAGTGGAAAAGCAAACAAATGGGTGGAAATTGCCTTCTTCTGGATCGGCTTTGCCACAGCAAAACTCTGTTTAATTGACTGTAATTCGTTGGGGGTGGGGACAAAAAAGCTGTCAGAAAGTCAAATGACAGTGACATCATTTTAAAATAAATAAATAAATAAATGCCACGTCCCACAAGGTCATTAAGATGGAACGCTTGGGGCTAAATCACAGCACAGATTCAACAAAAACATGGAACTTTGTTTATTGATTTGTTACTAGAAGAAACTGATGGCAAAGTTATGTTTTAGCCACTGATTGCTGGTGCTGCTGCAGACCCCTCAGTGACAAGCGCTTTTCCAGTGCAGCCTTCCCAATCTGCACTTCTCAGTGCCTGTCTGACCTATGGGTTCATCTTCACTTTAACGGGAAGCGACAGTTCCCAATGAAATCTCAGCGCCGCTCCTCTGCGCCTTTCTCTGGGCTAACTGACCACAGAGCACGTCTGCTGAGACATTTCCAACGGCATCTCTCACTCCAGCAAGATAAAATTGAGCTTTGCATCTAGTTAGGTGGAAGAAATACACTGTCTTTGCATTTTTCGTTCTTGCCCAGCCTTGTATTTACACATGTTTGTGTCTCCAGATTCACAAGCAGCCAGGGTCAAACTATCACTCTGTATTGATAAGGTTTCTCTCCATTATTTCTAACCGCTAAACTTTGTTAGGGCTGAGATGTTCCACAACAGCAGTTTGTTCTGGTCTCCTTTCTATTTACATTCTTTTCCTATCAATCAAACCAGTCCTACATTTTTTGAGCACCATAGCCAAAGGGAAATACACCGCTCTGACTCTCTGGAGGCTATTCCAAAGCCATCCCAAGGCTGGGCATTTTGGAAAATCCCCACAGGTGCTGGGAGTAACCAGGAGACTGGGCTTTAGGCTTGAAAGCACAGAGCCTTTTTCTTCTGTGCTGTCACGTACCCCAGGTGGGAACCAAGTCAGAGTGGTGGAGGAAGCCAAACCAGAGTGGTGTGAAGGGAAGGACTAGATGAAGACAAGGTGGCTGCTGAGGCTGTGTGCATCTGGCTGGGGCAGGCAGAGCAGCTGGATGGGGAAAGGGGACTCAGAGCCCAAGGTAAAGGCTGGCAGAGGGGAGAGAATGTTGAACCCAAAGGGCAGTGAAGGAAATGGGAGGGACTGTGAGCCAGTGACTGGTCAGAGCTACTGGTATGAGACAGAGGGGCCCATTGAGGAGGCTGTTGGCTGAACTGGGAGGCAAGGACAGAAGAGGAGACAGACCCTGCACAGTGCTTGGGTGGGGAGGAGGTAGGTCAGGAGATGGGAGAGGGTGAGAGTGGGGAGAGCTGTGGTGCCCAGAGGCCCCTCAGAGAGAGAAGGAACAAGCTCAAGGGCCCCAGGCAGAGCAGGGACGGGCTGGGGGACAGGGCTGGGCCCAGCCCCTACACTGAGGCACTCTATGGGATATCAGCTGAACCACGTATCCATGGTCTCCAGCATCCTGAAGAGATGGATGTAGTTCCCTGCAATCCAACCAGGAGATCCAATCTCTGAAATAAAGCATCCTGAGCCCCAGAGCTGCCCTCCTCAAAAGAAGAGAGAGCCTTCCCTTGTTGTCCACATCACTGTGGTGCCTGCAGCATCCCAGCTAGTGCTGATGTTACCCGAAAGGAATTTGGGCTACTGAGAATGATGAATAACTTGGGGGGAAAAAAATCAGCATAAAACCGGATATCCTGAGGGAGGGAAAACTAATATAAAGCCCAAGTCCAGCTAACAGGGAAAGTAGGTTGTAAAAATTAATGAGAATAATTGTTGTGAATTCTTGCTTTTGAAAGAACCCTCAAGAGAGCAGAACCTTAATTATTTCTGTCTATTAGGGTTCATTTCCTGGTCCTAAGTAGAGAGCTAGTACCTAATAACCAGTAACACAATGATTTAAGCTACAGAAAAACGGTACTTAACTGTAGGGGAAGTTAATATTTGGGAATCAACCTGATTGCAAGCACCCATTGTGTAAATGGCAAGGAAATGAAATGCGCATGTGACCTATTTTAACACCTCAATATTTCTGGGGTCTTTTTTCAGGGCTGCAGTGACAGGGGAGGTGGCCGACCCAGCTGCTGACAAGTCCACTGAAAACGTTACAAAAGCGTTCTTCGTAGCTGAGCCTTCCTTTTGGGGAGCAGGCTGGGGAGAGGGAGAGCCCAGTGGGCTTAAATATCTTTGCAGGCTGCCTAAAATATCAGGGGAAATAAGCACAAGCCCTGTATTGGGATTGCAGCTGTGCTCTTGAAATGAACAGACTGATCCGCAATCAGACAGGTATTTCTGTAAGCTGTGTAAGCATCAACTCGAATGCAGTTATGGATGAGTCATACAATTAATATTACATACCACAACATCATGCAAGTATAACATAGTTTTTGAAAGCACACACGTGTAGATTAGTGTGTGCACCTGTGTATGAAATTGTGCGTGTAAAACAAATAACTATATAATAATGGTGTGTAATTGCATGGACAGGAGGATCTGTGTGAAGGGTGCTTTAAGGGTAATGGGTGGAAGTGAAAGAGGTGGCAGTAAGTGGGTAAGAATAGGTAGTGCACTGGAAGAGACACATGAGGATGGACAAACAGACCAATCCTCCTCGCTGAGCTCTACAGACAAAGCCTATGATCATTTATGGCAATAGGAAGCACAGCCCAAAAACACACTTGGCCCCCAAAACACCCTGCTGTGACAGCAGAACTGAGGCTTGTGCCCACCGAGCAGCCCTACATGTGATGGACGTCACCATTCCACACTGCCAGCACCAGCTGCACCCTGGTGCTGCACCTCCTCGGCACAGGGGCAAAGTACAGATTTTATTCCCTTCCCTGGAGGGAGATGCCATTTAGGATAGATCATTCCCTGGTTTATTTTTATGGCCCTATCTTTCTCAATTGGGGCTTTATCTTGGGGCTACAGCCATTCTTTTGCTCGTTCCCCCAATGACTCAAGGCAACAAGGAGAGGAATGTGTGTGCTGGGGGGGGGAGGGATGTGAGAGCATGTAAAATGTGTAGGGGGTGTGTAAAATATGTAGTGGTGTCTGTGTGCATGTGCATGTGTCTGCAGGGATGCGAGCGCGTGTGCGTCTGTAGAGATTCATGCGCTCGTCAGTGTGTGTGTTTTGACAGAGACGGATACGCAGATGTCATTCCTTATCATCCAGATGTTGTTGATTTACAATCAAATATCCCCGCTCCTCCTAATATGGCAGTTTTCCCAAACTACTGTACTTACATGTTTTTGCTTTGCTTTGTTTTATTTGCGTGGTAATTTTTTTCCCCCTACATAACAGTCCTATTTTTCTTCAAAGGAAAGCAATTAAATTGAGGCCTGTTTTCTCATAGGGAAATGCATTTAAAGCAAGCAGTATGTCCTGTTTTATTAACTCCCAGTTCTATTAATATTATATTCTTTCTCTGAATCCATCAAGCAGAAGTTAAACTTGATTTTATAGCATCCACAACGGAGTTATAATTTAAGGCATAATTTGGCGATGGCTCAACTTGGATTCAGTCTGCTTGTCCTGGCTGTGCCAGCAGCTCCTATTTTAAAGGGCAGGGAAGTATTTTCTTTTCTCCCTAGTTACGGTGAGACACTCTTTCTTCTCCAGCCTGCTTCTGCTCTCTGCAGCTCCCTGGCCAACCAATGGATGGAGGAAACGCGACCATTTCACGCACATTTAGGAGCTTCCCCGTTACATCTCCAGGAAAGCATCCAGAATTCAACTAAGGTCTTATCTGACCTTTCTCCATTTGAAAAAATAATGGAATGCTTTCACTCTGTTGAGCATAAGAGGGACATTCTACCTGCCCGCAAGTCCAAGCAAAAACCCTGCTTTCAATGCCATTAGGGGAGCCCTCTGGGGGACACCCCAAGGAAGTCTATATTGACACATTTTCATACATTTTGCTTTGTTCTGCTCCGGCAGGAGCTGACTCCAGGCTCAGAGCCTCCCTTCCTGCCAGGGTCTCACTGCCCTCAGTTGGTGGGGACGGAGCCGTCCCCAAACAAAGGGACAGAGCACAGCCAGCTGGGGTTATCAGAGTCCCGGCCACAGAGGGGAGCGCCCAGCTCCCTTCTCCAGCACCAGATTACAGCCTTTGACCGATGTGGGGAAAAAAGATAAAACCAACTTCCTCGGTTGGTCGCCTCCACTCTGAGCAAGCCATCCTGTTTGAGCTCATTCCCCCTTGGCACGCCTTGAGCCCCTTCTTTGGATGCTTTGTGCGCACTGCCAGGAATAACAGAGGGAACGGGGACAGGACAAATCTAGACAGACGGGGAGGAGTGCAGGGATGGGGAGGGAGCCAGGACTGTGGCAAGTGGGGAGGTGAGGGAGATGATGGTGGGGTAGAGAGGACCTCAAAAGGAATTGTGTCAGGAGGGACTGAGGAAGAGGAGACACTGTTTGCCAGTGCAAAGGCCGGGACGAGTTCTCACCTTGTGGTTTTGGTAGGATGTAACAGCGATGAAGGCAGTCTCTGGGAAGACATGGGTGCAGAAGGCTGTGTTCTTGGAGCCAAAGCCATTGTTCTCATCTGCCTTCACGATGTGTAGCCGGGGCTGGTATTTGTGCATGGAGTTCAGGATGATCTGGGCATGGGAAGAAAGAGAGGACAGACCATAGGAATGGAGGGGGCACAGCTCAATGCATTCCCAACCCATGCAACCTTGTGATGGAGAGAGGAGGCAGAGAGGGACCTCCAGTCTCTTCCTCAAAAGATTCTCCCACATCAGAGCTCCTCGGAAAGGATGGAGGAGGAAAAACCTCTCCAGAGAAGCATTCCCCCACAGCCAAGGAGCTCATTAGGGCCCCTAACATATTTCCCACAGCTGGAGGGGGCTCTCTGCCTTTTGCAGCACCCCCAGCACGGGTACCTCAATCTTCCCAGCAGACCAACAAAGCAAGGGGTGAGAAGCAGAGGAATTCGTGTGTCCACTCCCCCCCCCACCATGCCACCCGCAGAGGATGGGGCAGGAGGGTGGTGGGGAGGGAAGCGCTGCGCTCAAGATAAAAAGCGGCCCCTGCTCCGTACCGGGTTAATCTCCGGGGACAGTGGCGGGGATGGGGACGATGGGGGAGGGGGGGACTCGCGCCGATAATGACCGGACCCTGGCGACAGCGAGACGCAGCGCGCCCCAACGCCAGACCCCGACCGCCTCGCCGCCTCCCCCGTCCCGGGGGTTTAGGCAAATTGCTTTGACATCCGGGAAAGCCGTAGACATCAACGGTGAACGATCTAATGGTTTTTAATTTCATTACCGCGACTCTAATTGAGAGGCTCCCGGTGCAGCTCCGCCTCTGAAGTCCCTATTGACCCAGCAGCCCGACTCTGCTTGCAGGGACTTCTCCCCAGAGCCGCCTGCTCGCAGCAGGGGGTGCCTGGCCCCGGGACCCGGCCGGAACTCCCCCCCCCAAAAAAAAATCACCCCCCTCCAAAACAAAATTATATTTAATAATAATAATAATAATAATAATAATAATAATAATAATAATAATAATAATAATAATAATGGAAAGCAGCAGCGCTTGCAAAACATCTTAATTCGGGTCCCAAAGGAAAAAAATAAATAATAAATAAATAAACCAACCAACCCTGAATTGGAGAGGGAAAGCGCAGCTCGCACAGTGATGCTCAGCGCTCAGGTGCGCTGCGGGCTCGGCTGGTTTCCTCCCACTCCCCACCCCCACCGGACAAGATTTAGGAACACGAGGTTTTCGGCGTTAAAAAGTGAAAACAGAAGGAATAAGAAGAAGAAGAAAAAAAAAAAAAAAAGCTTGGGGAAAAAAAGTGAAACCGAAGTGTTGAAATGAGACTGGAGAAAAATGGGCTCTTGGAAAAGGATGGTGGGATCTGGATTCATATACTCGCTTAAGTAATTATATATATTTTTATAGATATATATATTTATAATTCATAGACGCGTATATACATTTGCTCAGAGAAATCCATGTCTTTGGAGACCTCCGAAGGTGGGCTGCTTCTGGCTGCAGAATTCACACAAGCTTTCACGGCCCCTTGGGTCTAACAATGGTTGGTGGTGGGATTTGGCTTTTTCTTTTTTTCTTTTCTTTTTGGTTCGAGGGATCCACGTGATTGTAGGTCCTATTTCCTCGAATAATTATGCCTGATTGATTTTTACCTGTTAGCCAAATACATGGAAGGTACGAGCAAATTTTAAGGCTCTCAGACTCCCCTTCGGGTTAAAACCAGGTAGCTAGGGTGTCATTGAAACCAGGCACTGTGGTCTGTAGTCAATTCCCACTCAGTGCTGTGAAATAAATCTTTAAAAAATGGGCTATGCATCCTTCTTTTGGGAGGGATGGGGAGGAGGTCATCACTGGGGCTCATCCCGTCTTACCAGAGAAGATAATACCCCACCCAGATAATGGATTTAGACTACAAATTCTGTGGCTCTTGGCAATGCGATGCCACTCCTAGGTACCAGATTGCGCGTGGGATCCCACGGTCGCCCTGTGAAGCGCAAATCCGCGTCTCCTGGCCCTATCCCAGCACGGTACTCACATGTCCGAAGGGGTCCAGGTGGTTGTTGGTGAGCTTGAGCTTCTGGAAGGAAACCAACTGCCTCATCCAATGGGCTCCGGTAGCGGGGGAGTCGGGGTGCACGTAGAGGCGGCCGGGCATGGCCGGCTCTGCCTTCCCGGTCACGGACCTGCGTGGGACAGAGGCGCTGAGCTCCCACCCGTGGGGTCCCCCCTCCTGCCCCCAGCACCGTGGTGCCCGGCGGTCTTCGGGGAAAAAAAAAAAAAAAAAAAAAAAAACGTTTACGGACACACACAGTGCGCGGAGAATTAATGGAGATCTTTGGCACTTTTCCCGTCGAGATGGCCGTTTCCCCATTTAACCCCATCCTTCCTCCTTCCTAATTACGGACACCCAAACAAGGAGCAAAGAAAACACCGCGTATCCATCCTTCAGCGTCTCCCCCACCCGGAGACGCTGCTGCCCGAAAGGTAATTAAACCATTGGCATCAGAATGGCCAACGATCTCACAGTCAAGCATGGTTCTCTAATTGGGTCTCTCTTTTGTTTGTTGGGGCTTTTCTTGATGTTGTTTTCCAGAGGTGCGTCCCGAGACCCTCAGGTACAGCCCAGCAGCCAACAGCAGCATCTCCCACCCAATGCCGCCCCGGGCTCGGGCAGCCCGACACGAATCAGCGCTCCCTTCCCTTCCCCCCCTGCGTGCGTACCATTTATTATCTGCAAATTTGTATCTGTGGTCATCCGCTGGTACAATATCCATCAACAGTATGTACTTCGTTTTTGGATTGAGTCCAGTGACCTTCACTTTGTAACTGGGAAACATACGCCTATAAAAGAAAGAAGTGCGTAAATATAAAAGCAAAGAAGGGAAAGTTTCCCAAGGTGGATCTTTGTGTGCGGTTTATCAGAAGTGGAGGGGCCCTGCAACCAAGCGGGGGCACATCCTGTACGGGGAGAGGGGGGATTCGCCTATTTATTATCATTTCTTTCACCAATGCTTCGATTTAAAAAAATAATAATAATAAAATTAAAAAAAAAAAAAAATTAAACAAATCTGCCGCGAGATCCCTTGGAAGCAACTTACTTTCCTGTTTGCTTAAACTGTTGGAAAAGTAGGGGAAATATGCCAAAAAAAAAAAAAAAAAAAAAAAAAAAAAGTAAAAAAATATGTATATTTCTGCAAAAGTACGCGTTTTAAATATTCACATTTCTCCAAAGCTCCCGTGTGAATCAACCGCTCTGCTCTCAGATGCTTAAGGAACACACGCGCTCAGGTGCAGCACCGAGGACGTGCATACAGAGACATCAGCAAACACACCTGACAAATACTTGGAAGCACACGGATACACACTGAGGACAGCGGCTTTTCGAAATAGTTTCCATTACTGCAAGGCAGGGACTTAAAACACTGATGTTATTTTAGTTTGAGCTTTCCAAATATTTAAAAATAAAGCAGATGAAAACGTAGCCCTTGACTTAAAACACGCATAAACAAAAAGCCCCACACCTCTAAAAATACTGCGCACTTCTCCGGGGCTCGAGTTCTTATCTGTGCGATAGGGCATCTGGGCCGGTGTGTAAATTCACATGGTAAGAGATGAAGGGGGGTGAAGCCGGTGACTGAGGGGAGGTTATGGGGGTAGACTGAGGGAGAAGAAACCAAATTCCACCCGAAGACGGACCTGAGCGTCTACCTCAAACACCTGATCTGCAACGGCGCGACCCCGAGCTTCTCCAGCAATGAGCATAAGGAATTCTATGAAGAAGAACAACTATTCTGTGCCTGCCCCGGTGCTGCGTGCGCTCTCCCCTAAACACCCCGCTCTATAAATGTCGGTTTTATAGCTCTCCAGACGACGTTTCTATGCGTTACGCTATTTGTTTGAAATCTCCGCAAGGTGGTTTTTGTCCGTCTCTCTCCTTGCGTTGCTTTCTGAGAGGGAAAAAAAGAAAAAATCTGCTTTTCTTCGCTAAGTTTCCGTGTCCCCGAACGGAGGCAGCGCGCAGCCCGTGTCCCCTCAGGGTCTGGGGGCGGAAGGACAGCGCTGCCAGCAGCTCCGCAGCCGCGCATTTCCCGCACAGGTCGCCCTTTCCAGCAGCAGAGCAAGGCGAGCCGTGAGACAGACCCACTCGCAGCACTGTCTGCAGCCAGCTCTATTTTTTTTTTTTTTTCTCCCTCTCCAGGCAAATTTTGGAAGACCACAACAAATACCAGCTGACAGAGCAAAATGAAAGTCTGACTTGGCGTTGCTTACTGTGCCCTCGCCTTCTAACGCTGCCATTCTTTTCTTGCGGGAGGCGTTTCCCTTTTCAGACCGAGCCTCGGGCAGCGCCAGGTACGGCAGTTCGTTTCAAATCGTAGCGAAAAGAGCCCCGAGCTCGCAGGTGATCGTTCCGCTGGATCTCCCTTGAACAGCCCTCAAAGACGCTAGTACTGAGAAAAAGCTAAATAACCTCAAACGCACTCCAATACATCCGCGTACACATACAAATATCTGTGGATCGGGTTTACTAAGCCGGCCATGGAATCCATTACGCACAATCCCAATAAAGTTGGATTTGCGAGGCTGTATATTTTTCTACACACCCACGCAGGCGAGCACACACATATAGAAATGTGTATCTGGACGCGGTTAGAAACGCATGCTATTTATTTGCGGGCACATCTATTTATGCATCTAAACCGTTACGCTATCGGTATATAAACAGTAGCTTAAGACCACATATACTTTTAAATAGGATGGTGTGGGTGTTCTGCATATGTTGGCCTCAATGAGCGCGTAAGAAATTAGAAGAGTCTGGAGAAAAAAAAAAAAAAAAAAAAAAAAGAGGACGGCGTTCCAAAATCGCGGAAGGACAGAGCTGCTCCTTTAGTTAAAAATAATGGTAATATTAACGAGATCGCCCAGCGAACGGCTCTAAACAAGGTCAGCTTTTGGCCAAGTGGCTGCAATTCGGCGCTTGCCTGGAAAGCTTCCAAAGGCCTGAAATTGGGATTAACGATCCAACTGTTCTGGTTAAGAAAGGAGCCAGAAGAAACAATTTCTTCTCAATCCATCCTCGCAGGGGTGTCACGGAGACCCGGGGCAGCAGCGGGGCTGAGGCCGGACACCTCCATTCCCCGTGGGCACGCACTCCCCACGCACACGAACACGCATGGAGAAGCTCAGGGTGTGTATTTGTGCAAAACTCTCCCCGCAAACACCGACGGAGGAGGAGGATTCGGCCCCACGGACACAAAGGGCGTGCGGCTGCCTCCCCCCGCTGTACTGGGGCTGCTTCTTACCTTCCAGCCTTTGTTATGATCATCTCCGTCCCCACCTCGTGAAATTTCAGCCACAGCTCCCGCTCGTGCAAAAACACTTTGATCCCCTCCATGCCCTGCGAAGGAGAAAGACAGAGCCGTGAGCACCGAGCCCCGAGGAGGCAAAACCAGGGAGGGAAGCAGCCGGGCGGTGGGGCCGGAGCTCGGAGAACGCTTCCCGGGCAGCACAGGATCCTGCGGGCCCCGGTGCTGCGGGAGCGGGGAGGGATGGCCGAGGCCGGCTGCGAGAAATTCCCCCGTGCAGCGGTCGGAAGGCGGCCGGAGGAGATTCACATCCTTCTGATGAGTTATTTACACCCGCTTTTGCAGGCTGGGGCCCAATGGCTGCGATCCCCGCGCCCCTCGGTGCTCGTCTTGTTAGCCGGGTCCGGAGGCATTGCTCGGAGCGGGGCGGGAGGGGCATCCCGGCAGCCCAGCAGCCCAGCAGAACTCCCAAACCGATCACACGTACACCCCTAATGATAACAGAACCGAAAACCGAGGAGGCATCGGCTGTGGGGTCTCCTCACAGGGTTTTACCTGCGGCCGCCTAAGGATCCCAGCACCGAGCTCCGGGACCAGCTCTGAGCGCTGCCGCAGTCCGGCTCCTTGGCCCGGCCCTCCCCTCCTCTGCAGCATGGGGACCTCAGTTTGCTGGGGCCCGCTGGTGAGCCCATGTGTGTAACCACGACTCGGGGGGGGTCCATCGGGTGAGGGTTGGTGGGGATGTGCGGGGGGACCTCGGGTGTGCCCAACCCCCAGGTGGCTGCGGGCTGCCCACGTGTGACACCAACAGAGTGCCCTGGGGTGTGTGGGTGTAGGCAGAGCTGTGTGTAGTCGGGTACACAGGCACAGTGTGTTCAAAATATACGCTTTTATATGTATATATGTTCATACATCTCTTAAATCAATCCACACAGGCACATAGCAAATACACAGCTGTCTGAGTGTGCATCTGCACGTGCATTTGTACACTCAAGCATGGACTGTGTGTGCCTGTCCTTGCACAAACGGATCCCTCTCTGTGACATTCACGGTGACTTTTTCCTGCCTGCCCCCCCAGCACTCAAACACACCACAAAGAACAGCTAAGCAGGAAAGAGCCCACCGCCCTGACCATCAGGTGAGAGCTTTCCTTCCCGTGAGGCCTAAAATGACTCATTCCTGCCCAGCTCAGGAGCAGAACTACAGCTGGGATCGGGGGAAAAATGCAGAAAAATGGCAAAAAAAAGGAGAGAGGGGGATGAAAGAGAAGGGGAGCTGCAGCTGGATCCTTACCTGCTGGGTGAAGGCTGCCTGCGGAGAGGTGGGGGCCTTGCTGGTGGTCCCCAGCTGGGGGTCCTGCTTGGCCTCAGCCTGCAGCTCCTTGGCCTCCGAGTCAGCCGGCGTGCTCGGGAGCCCAAAGCCTTCCTCAGTGTCCGCCATGTTACAAGCTTCCTTCGCCGAATCCCCCACTGCAGGCACACATCGGGGAGAGAGCAGAGATAAGAGGCACATAAGTCAAGGCTGACGCTCAATCAAATATATATACATCTAACGATACACATGCGCTGAGCCCGGCGCTGGGCAGGGCAGGAGGGCGAAGCAGCGCTGCTCGCAACTCACTTCCAGCAGCCCGGGGAAAAGACGAGGCCCTTTAACTTTTGGAGAGGGAGAAATAAAGACTTTTATTTATTATCACAGCCCGCAAGGAATGATAGGATTTGGGGGTGGGGGATGGGGAGAGTGGAGGCGGTATTATTAAATGCATCTTTTGGACAAGGTAAACAGCCGCCTTCCCGCAGTCCGCCCGGCATCGCGCACGGGGCACCTTGCCACGGGACCGAACCGCTCAGCACACGCGTGGCCGCGAGGTGGGGTGTCCCGGGGACCCGGGGGATGGGGCCTCCCCATCCCCCGGGCCGATATCTGGCTCTCTGTGGCCAGGGAGGCCGGAAGATCCCCCCGTCCTCCCCGAGAGGTGGGAGCCGCTTTCCAGCAAGCAAATGCCACCGCCACGTGACGCCGTTTATATAACCCCAATTTCAAAGAAAATTCAACTTCATGCACCCCTGAGAAGCGCGACCTTTCCGCCAAAATAAAATAAAACGAGCCTTTTATCCATCCTCCAAAACCCCAAACTCAAAACGCTATCCCGAATAGTTGCAAATCAAGTTGGATTGGACGGACGAGACGGTTAAAAAACATCTAAAAAGTGCGGATCAATCCGATATGGTGCAAAGTAACGTGCGCATGGAATGCGCATGCAGTGAGCTGAGCACTAATGGGAGGAAAACTGCACCGGCAGAGCCTGAGAAATCCGCCGCTTACATCTGATGCGAGCAACAAGAGCGAGTTTTAAAGGCGGTGTTTCGTGGAGCTTTGAGGGCTCTATCAGGAATGGTAAAAGTTCCAAGCAGAAAAAAGAGAGAGAGAGAGAGAGATAAAAGCAATTCAATTATCTGTCAGTATTTCTTTTTTCGTTTGTTTCGAGGAGTCCGGAGTTTTAATAGCTTTTTAAAAACCTCTCTCGCGTGTTTCAAAGAAGAGGATTCGGTTTTGAAAGGCCAGCCATATGGAGACAATATTGGTTTTAAGTACACGAGAACGGTTTGAAATGAGCCCTCCTTCTCCCTACAACAATATTTAAAAGCCTTTAAAAGAAAGCATAAAAAAGGCAATTCTCCTTTAAATGCGAGGAGAATTGGGAGTGGAAAGGAGGGGGAGAAAATGCTCTTCCCTGTTAGTGCCGGGTAATATATACATACACGAATATATAATTTAAAAGGACAAAAAGCAAAGGGACTGCGGGTCCACACCTCCGGAGCTAAAGATCATTGACAGAAAGGCCACCGTCCCCAGGTCCCCACCCTTCCCTCCCCTCTCCAGCGCTCCCTTCCCACAGTGCGGGGCAGGAGAACCGCGCCCGGTGGGGACTGCGTGGAAAATGCGCGGCTGGGAACCCGCGGACACCGAGTGCAGCCCCGAAGCTGCCGAGCCAAGGACCGTAAGGGGTTTTTCTTCCCCTCCTCCTCTTTTTTTTTCTAGCTGTTTGGGTTTTTATTATAATTATTATTTCCTTTTCTTCCCCCCTCTCCTTTTTGCTACAGCCTCGGAAACCCCCACTATCAATTTTGAATCGATCTCCCTCCAGCGAGGATCTATTCTTCCCCTTGGGCCGGCAAAGTTAGGAGGCGGATGGGGGAGAAAAGGCACGTTTATTAAAACAAAGAGGGACCCAGATATGGCAGAGCAGGGGACGAGCCCCTCTCCCCGTGTCGGCGGGTCAGGGAATAATTAAGCAGATTAAAAATAATAATAATAATAAACCGAGGGGTGACGGTGGAAGGAAAAAAACAAAAAGAAGAAGAAGAACCCAACAACTAAGAGCAATTGGCGAGCTACGGCTGCTGATTTTTTTCCCCTTTAAAGAGCTTCTGAGAAGAAATGGAGCTTGACAGAACCAGGCCGCGATGGCTGTATGAAAAACGCATCCCGCTTCGCTAAAGTAGCACTGAGCTGGTTCGCAATATATATATGTATATATCTATATAAAGAAAAAAAAAAAAAAAAAAAAAAGGAAACCCAGCCCACCCTCTCCTTTTGTTCCAGGCTGCTCTCGTTGCGCCCCGCGCCCCCCGGCCCCCCCCGGCCCCGCACACCGCCGTGGAGCCCTGCGGAGCGGCCCCCCCGCATCCCGCGTCTCCCGAGGCCTCGCCGCTCCTCGGCACAGACAGTTTGTGTCTAACAATGACCCCGGACAGCCACTTTCGCTCTCTCGGTCGCACACGCGCACACGCACTACAGACACCGACGGACATACATGGCAATGGAAGAGCTGTTACCTTGCTTGTTGAATTCCATGCAATCAATGCATCTCCATATATATATGTATGTGTATATTTTCCCCCTTGGCAATGGAAATTACAATGGGATCAGGCTTCTCGTGTGCATATTTCCTTTTATTTATTTATTTGCGGATCAGCATGTGAAAACCCAGCCTGGAAGAAAAAGCTCTATCCAACGCAAGCCGCCTGCCTGCCTCGCTCTCTCTCTCTCTCTCTCCTGCTCTCTCCAAACACTTCCAGGTTGTCAGACGCACCAGAAAGGATCCTGAAACCAAGATAAAGCCCCCACCCCCACCCTTTTCTCAGCCTGATCTGGAAGATGCACTTTTCCCCACCCTAATCTTTCTACTCCCCCCTCAAAATAAAAAA